CCAGGCACTCCGGAGCTAAACTTTTCATCACTGGCATGCTTAGAAAGATCTTAAAGTTATTTAAGATATTCACTTTATACCATACATGAGAGTTCCTTAGACAAAACTGCCCCTGGATTCTTCTTTACTTTTGGTCATAAATCAAATATCCAAAGGCTGCCTCATATAATATATCATACCTTCATTTTCTCTAAGTCAATCACAACAAAAATCAAATTGCAGGGAAAACAAAGGTGGGAAATGGTAGATTACCTTTCACCCAGATTTCCCAGTGCATTTAGAGGTTGGACCATTTGATCATCTTAGCATGATGGGCCATCAACATGACTCTCCCTGCGAAGTGCGCTGAGATTGAAATGGGGGAGCCATTTTTTAGAAGGCTGTTCTTTCACATTATGATATATACAGAACAATAAACATGTCTCGGCTCTCAGGAAACCAGAGGGAATACCCTCCAATAGGCCACTTCTTATAGGAAATGCTATGTAAATAGCATGAGGGGATAAAATAAGAACAGTAGCTTTCTTATGTAAGAGGATGTTTTTTTCTTAAGTATCTCTTGATTTTTCATCTCAGGATCTCATAAGAAGCATGACCAACACAGTAGGCATTTCATATTTGTTGAATTTAACTCAGTGTTATAGATTCCATTTTCTTCTCAGTGTCAGTGAGAATAGTACCCTATGCTATATTGGGCTACTGCTCTCCAACTGAATATAAGCCTTTTTCTCACATATATTCCATTAAAGGAGGTTGAAACTGGTTTTTTTGTTTGTTTGTTTGCTTATTTGGTTATTGCCTTGTTTGTTTGGTTGGCTAGCTTGTTGCTGATCCTCTTGATCTTAGGACAGTAAGAGAAAGAAACAACATGGTACAAATCCCGATGTCTGAAGTCAGACAAGACTGGTTTAAGTCCTAACTCCTTCACTTTATTAGCCATCTAATTCCTCAAATCTAAGTCTCATTTTTCTAACTTATAAAATGGGACAGTAATCCCTACTGGCCAGGGTTGTTAGGAGGATTAGATGAGACAAATGGCGACTTAGCATAATGACAAGCCCACAGTAAGCATTAGGCATATCATTAATTTTGTTTATTATTATTACCTCATTAAGTCATAATTAGGATAAAACAAAATAATATATGTAAGTGCCTCTTGACAGACAACAAATGCTAATGCTTATGTTCTAGAAGAACATGATTTAATAGGCAGTATGAGCCATCTTCCCTACACACCCCAGGGAGTGTTCTTGCGTGATGGTTCTTCTGGCCACATGTTGCTATTAGAGCACAGACATAGGTCTAGCTCAGGTAGACCAACACTTCACAAATCTGTCACTCTGAATTAACTCAAAAAATGCTTCCCAGTGACCAGAAATCACAAGAAATAGAAATAAGCATCAGAATGTTCATATTTGCAATGAGAATGCTGGTAAACGCTACTACTTCGATGTGGCACTTTGGGATGTTGAAAGCACTAAACGACTAGCCTCAGGAGATGCTGCCATGTAGCCATGAGCTATTTCCAGCCCTTCTTGCATTTCCTGGCTTTACCTGGATGGGATACGCGCAGATTTGTCATTCATACCATTCAGATAATTAGGGCCTGACCCATCTCCTGTGTCACATCCTCAAGTCTCTTCACATGACTCACCATTCAGCTGGAAAGCAGGAAGTGCTCCATTTGGGGGAGGAAGTCAAAAGGACGCCACACCTCAGGACAACACCGTTCTTACTCACACAGTGTATTATTCTCATCTACCAGGCAACACCCAAACACAGCCTGTTTTATCACACCAACAGAAAGGAAGATCAGGGCTATGAGTTTACGCTCATATCTCACATCCGAGACATCATGTGACCAAGAGCTACAACCAAAAGGCTGTTCCACTGACCCCCTACCCAGCTGACTTCTGGTGGTTCCAAAGCACCAAACCTCTAACCTCAAAGCACAGAGACCTAAGCCTTCTTCAGCTTATTCTGGCATAATCTCTTGGATTATTGAGTACTGGCACAGAACAGAACTAAATGTAGGTAGATAGAAGTGGGTGTGTTTTACACATACTTATGCAAGCCTACATGTCTATACATGAGAAAGTTTTGGCACCCGAAGGAAGCCACTGTGAAATTTTTTGTCACCAAGATTGTTTGCTATTTATCAATTTGCATTTTTCAAAATAAGCTTGGCATCTACACTGAGATGTGACATCTTTAATTGCATGGAGAGTCTATTTCCGTTATAAATGGGTCAGGAGTTACCTTGCCTCCCACTTCTATTCAGAAGATTTGGAGTTGCTAGAAATATCACCTTCATTCAAGGTCAGGGAGAGTTTGGAAGAGTGATACTCAGTCTCATCCTCTTTTCACCCTAGACTGACATTCCAATCTGGAAATGGAAACTTTAGAGGAATGAAAAACTGACTAGCCTGAGCTAACTGAAGTACAGTATAAGATCATAAACTTATCAGGATGACACAGTCATTATGATAGAGGAAAACAAAATGTAGTATTTTACCTAAGACAAAATGGGAGAAGGAGATTATAATTTATAAAAATTTCTTCCAAAAATATATTTTTTTAAGTTAGAGGGGGAGGGGCAGAGGAAGAGGGAGAGAGAGAATCCTAAGTGGACTCCAAGCCCAGCATGGAGCCTGAGATCATGATCTGAGCCAAAATCAAAAGTCAGTCTCTTAACTGACTGCCACCCAAGTGCCCCCCAAAAATATTTTGATGTTTAAAGGGAGAATATTTCCCTTTATTGAAAACCAATCTTTAAGACATGCTTCTCATTTCTCAAAGAGGCTGAAAGATGTTTGGTTTTGACAAATAAACATCTTATCTATTTCCAAGGGGATTGCTGTGTATTAAGAGAGGTCTCCAAGCTTTTCCGGAAGAGGAGCTCACTAGCTCTGCTTTACTGTTTTCCAGCACTTTTCACCACCATTTTAGCTTGCCTTGCCAAATCAAGTTTTTAATTAAGAGTAGTTCTCTTCCTCTACCTTCATAACATGCACCCAAATGATAGACATTCCTATCAATCTCCTCCCCTGAGGTTTTTGGAGCTGCCTCTGCTATTTTCCATAAATGACTATATCCCATTTTTCTAGAACCAGTGACGAGCAATGCATTGGGTATGGGAATGATCAGATCCAGGCACGAAGGTGGAATTACTTCGTCTCTGCATCCAGGGTTCTTTAGCTCCAACCCTGTAAGATAGTCCCACTAAAAGTATCTGATCTGTAAAGAGAACAAGGGACCATGTACTGAAACGGCTAAGCCATTGATCTGGCCAACAAAAACAGTATGTGATATAATTTAAAAGGCATTCTTCCCTTTGCTTTCCCCCAAAGAGATAAGGATGAATCATTGCTGGGAACTGCATTTTGCAGTCAACAGACCTAGCAACCAACTAATTCAGGATTAACCTCCTGAAGTAGCGTACTTCCCTGAAGTAGCAAAAGGATAAAAACATTAAATGGATAAATTAAAATAATTTCCAAGGGAAATGATAGACAACAAAATGTCTTTTAAAAGTTTTGTTTTATAGTAATATATCCTTAGGGATGTGCAACTGGGGCATAGTTCAAGGGAAAGAGATTAGAAGAAAAAAATTAATGAATGAAATGTCTTGAGGAAAAAAAATCATAAAGCAAGTCAGAAATGTCTCTCTAGTCTTAAGTGCCTGGTCACAAAATGCATCTTGAACAAAAAACTTGGAAGATATTTTAATACATATGGTAAAAAGGAGGCACATTTAATTTACAAAGAGCTCTTATAATCTTATAAACTGCAGATACCAACCCAGTAGACTATTGGACAAAGGATATAAACTGGTCACTCACTCACAGACCAAAACAACAACAACAACAACAACAACACACCACAACTGCCAAGAAATATTTTTAAAGATGCTTAACCTCACTCATGATTAGGTAAACAAAATAATAATAGTAAGATACCAATTTTTTTCCTGGCAAAATTTTCAAAGTTTGAAATTACACATTGTTGAAATAAATACACAGTGAAGTATAAATTGGTGCCAACTTTCTAAGGTGTAATTGGAAAATATTCATCAACTTGTAAATTTCACAAAACGTCCATAGGTAAGGACTTACTCCATAAAAATACATTAAGATATATGTAGAAGAATGTCCACTGCAGCACTGTTTGCAAGAACAAAAACCAATGTAACTGTCCATGAACAGGGGAATAGGTTAAATAAACTATGGCAATCCAGCCAATGAAAAACTCTTAGCATAATGTGGCTAATCCGAATGCACTGAGACAGAAGGATGTCTAGGATCCACTAAATGGAAAAAAGCAAGATATAGATAATATGAATGATGTAATCTCATTTGTGGAAGTATATAGGTTTAAATGTTTTTAATGCAAATACCATTATATAGTTATTGCTCGTAACAAAACACCTCAAAGCTTAGTGGTGTAAGACCGTGACTGTTCATTATTTCTCACGATTCTGTGGGTTTCCTGAGCAGTTCTTCTGTTGGTATCACCGGGGCTTACTCAGGTGGCTGCAGCCAGCTGGGAGTTGGTTGGGATTGAATGGACTCACCTCTCTGGGCCCTCAACTGGTATGGCTGAAATGACTGGAATGACCACATGGTTCCTCCTCTCAGGTGTCTTCACACGATAGAGGAAGCGCTCCCCTTGGGCAAGATTAAAACTGCAAGGCCTCTGTAAGCTAACACTCAAAGTCAAACACAGTCATTCCCACTGCATTCTCGTGATGAAAGCACGTCTCAGGGCCAGTCTGGATTCAAGAGGAGGAAAGCAGACTCCACCTCTCGGTTGGAAAAACAAATTTTGCCGAATTTGTGACCATATTTAATCTACTACCTTATATATGTACATATCTACCTCTCTATAGCTCTATCCATCGGAAATGTTATTGAAAAAGCTATTGAAATAATTCCCCTTGGGAAAGGAGCTAGGAATGTGAGCGGCATTCAGTTAATGCATTTCTATACTCAGGGCTGGCTTCACAGGTGGGAGAACTGTGCAGTCACATAGGGCCCCATGCTCAAGGGCTCTGCACCCTCGGTGTAATGCTCTGCTATCACAATCTTGAAATTCTTAGTGATTTTATCTTTGAGCTTGTGTTCTGTAAGTGAAGTGCAATGGAATAGTGGAACAGGTATGTGAGCAGAGACCGGCCATGTGCATGTCCACTGTTCCTTGACATCCCTTTCACACAGAGCATTGACGATGCCTCGTGAGAACAGGATTCAGGTGCAACTGTGAAGCATGGGAGCTCAACACAACTCAGTGCAAGTACACGGTGAGCATGTTACATCTTCCAGTGAGCAAGTCCAGGGGCTGACAGCCCCAGAGGCCCCATTTCCCATGCTAATCAGAGCTTGCTTTGAGCACAGAAAGAGGGCAGTGGTATTGACAAAGAAACTCTATCATATCCTTTCTTATTCATATTACTTCCCTGTATGAGCCAACCACTTACACAGAAAATAATGACATAAAGGGAAAAGAAAGCTAGGGCAACCCATAGTTCCTCTTCCTGAGTCCTGCCTTAGCGATCTGTCAGCTGCAGATCGAGAGTATGGGCAGAAGCTGTGTGCATCAAGAACTGAAATAAAAACAGTTGAATTAGTTTTGTGCATGGTTTCTACTGTTCCAGTAAGAATATAATACATGTGCATGTACAAGCCAGGAAACAGAAACTGTATCACTTTGGTGATTCCACATACAAGTTAAATGTCCTTATATTTGCATTTAAAACTGGCATTGCACCATAGAAAGACAAACAGGAAATTTGCGCTAATAATTTAATTTTTTCTTTACTTAGAACATTAAAGGGCAAATAAGAAACATGATGAGTTGAGATAGAAAATGCAGAAGAAATGAAAAAGCTTTGTATTTTAGCACCATTAGTGACACTTTCTTCCTCTGGGGAGAATAAGGGATGTTACATTTTTATTTTGCACTGGGCACACAAATGACGTAGTCGACTTTGCACTGTTTGAACATGTATATACATGTCCTGCTTTTTTGCATTAAAAAATAGGTTTCTTTCTACCATACCTCACCCATTCTTTTATTTCACATTTAAGTTTTATGAGCTTTATGTTACTCCTGACATCAAGTCAACATAGATTTATTTAAAGAAAAAACTTATAAAAAATAATGATAAGACCCAGGGAACACAGCTGAAAGAAGACAGGTACCCCAAAGAAGAAACATTTTTATTAAAACAAAGGCAATATTTCATATTGTTATTGCTGCTCTCTCTCTCTCTCTTTTTTTTTTTTTTTTTGTGGGCAAACATTCTCCCTGATTTATAGCACTGAAACCATGGTCAGCACAATGAAATTAAGCAAGAATAATATGTCAGATTAAAAAAAACCAAATCCAATTTTATGAACTCAATTCATGACAGCTGCACTGTCAACATACATATTTATTCTCTCAAGGGCCATGGATGCAAGGTCATCTACACCACAAGGGATGCCTGTCTTGATTGGTACATATACATCAACTCAGGAAATGTAAAAGATATGTGGAGGTTATTTACAGGGAGAACTTCTTGGAAAATTAATGCCAAAAGGATTTTCCATGTTTTATTTACTAGCATGGTATCAACGTGATATACCATAGCTATGATGATTAAACACCTCTATTCAAATTGAGGGAGGTATTACCTCTTATACTTTCAATATTACTAATCATGTATATTACTTTGAATTTTCAACAAACTTACTGGTTTGTCATAACTAAAAATTAAAACGAATTATACTAAAAAGACTCCTACAAGCTTGGTTAGAGTTTTCTATTTGAAACACAGTCACATTTTGCAATGACGTTTTCAGATTTACAACACCACACCATGCCGACAGGAGATTCAAGTTGTTGGAATTTAAATAAATAGTAAAGGAAAAGGAAAAAGTAACCTAAATTTGTCAATTTGTGTGAAGATTATGATTCAAAATGTCTTGATATTTTTAGAAATTTTAAAACTTTTTTTTTTTTTTTCTTTCTCAAGAGGTTGAGAAAAAGAATCAAATGTAAGCTTTGGAAGTCCTGCCCAATAACCAACTAAAGAGAATATTGTGCATAAAATATTCTACCAGTAACGGTGGGTTGCTTCTGGCAAGGGGCCTGGTGGTTAGGGCAGGGGTAAGAGAAAAGCATGTTTTTCATTATATATATTCTGTTGTACTTTTTAAAAAATTTAAATTCAATTAGCCAATTTAGTTACCATGTGTATGCATTACCTAGTCTCAATAAACTAAATTTCTTTAAATAAAAAACAAAGACAATTATTGTTCTGCATGATGGGCCATGTTACTATAGCTAATTTTTAGAAGTACCAATTGTCTAAAGGTGTCCAGTTAGCAGTGTGGGCATTATTCTATGTGGGTGGTTTGGGGGGAGAGGTATGGAACTGAAAATACAAAACCACACTTCCATGAAAACTTGTTATTGAAGTTCAATCGTTTTTGGAACTGGATACAAAATACTCAGATGTGCTCTATTTAGAGGAGCAATGGATCCATGAATTAGAAATATTTATTTTAAAACAGGCTTTGGTAGAACCTCTTACTGCAAAGCATTTCTGTTTCGAGGCTGGAACTTGGCATTTTTCCTAGTGATTTCTTTTCACTACAAGAAGAATTTCTGGATACCAATGTCTCAGCCTGAAAGCCACAATGAAAATTATCCACCATCTCCATTCTCACATCACAAATTCTGTAAAGGTTTTTTCAGAGTAAATGTTCAGTATTCTCCCACATAAAGCGGGGACAGACTATATGGTCTGATCTGTATCCTGATTCTATAGAAAATGGTCCTTAATCATTTGGTGGGGGGCAATGGGACCCTTTCAGATTAGGATGAAAGCTATGGACTCTCTTTTCAGAAAACCCACACACATAAAAATTATCAGAGGTTGGCAGGTTTCTCAGTAGCTGATCTGTGAACTCCCCAGAGCTCATGAAATCTGGATTAGAGTCACCTGTTGTGGACCAGTCCTCTTTTCTGACACTACACATAAACTCATCTGACAATGGACCAAATAAGATATCCTATTGCTACAGGGAAAAATGCTAACATTTGGGTCTAATCTTGAATTCTTCCTAAATAAAAAAAAAAGGAGGGAGTGCTCTTTTTATTTCAAAAGCTCCCAAAACTGAATTCTGGATACTTAAAATAATATTCTTGAGACTAAGCTGGTAATAACTTATGACTAAAGAACTAATATATGTGAAAAGATAAGAATGACTTCTGGCTTTTAGTTTGTGGTCAATACAGTTCACCTTTATTGTTAGTTATTATTCATGCAGAGACCCATCACGTGAATGTGAAGTCCAAATGACCACAATGATTCTCAATCAGATCTGGTCTTAGATCATGTCATGGATTACCACAAATGGGATACTGTAGGGAGCTCACTTTCCTTCTCTATCAGATCGGAGAAGACCCTGCCAAGCCCCACAGGAACAGAGAGATTAAAAAGAGTAACACAGAGTGCTCTGTGCCTTCTGTGACCCAAGGACCCAGGCCTAATGGCTACTAGGAACCCTGACTGCACCAGCATCAGCACAGCCTCCACCGAAAGCCCCAAGTGATAAAGACCTACAAGGCCTCCAAATCTGGGAGAAACCAAATGGATTCCCAGAGTGTGTCTATTAATGGTCCTTAGTTTCCTCTGGTTTTGAAGCCGCATTCTGCCTCTTGCTCGGGGCTCTCTCAGCCCCAGAACCTCTCAGCTTCCAGGTTTTTCAGTCTGTTTAGAGGAACAGCGGTGCTCCGGGCCTCCATTTTCCCCGAATCTTAGCAATCCCAGGTGTTAGACATCCTATCCCCATCCCCTCACCTGATCTCAACCTGTCTTATAGTCATGTTCTTTTTCATCATCTGGATCCTCATCTCCTCAGAAGGCAACCAGCCTCTTCTTGGCCTTTCATTCACAGACAGATCTGGTAACACCTATGTGAAGGGGCTGCCATCATTCATCCCTGGTGTTATTCACCTGATCAGGAGGAGACCAGGAGATGTTAGGGGAGACAGCAGTTGGGCTGGGTCTTGGGCCAGGTAGAGAAAGGAGGTGACTGGAGGTAAAGGGACCCTAACACTTTTGGGCTTCTTACGTGTTTTGTTTTTTTTTTAAAGATTTTATTTATTTATTTGAGAGAGAGAGAATGAGAGAGAGCACATGAGAGGGGGAAGGGTCAGAGGGAGAAGCAGACTCCCTGCCGAGCAGGGAGCCCGATGCAGGACTTGATCCAGGGACTCCAGGATCATGACCTGAGCCGAAGGCAGTCGCTTAACCAACTGAGCCACCCAGGCGCCCCTTACGTGTTTTTGCTCCAGGGAGCAAGTAGGTATGGTGCTAGTGTCCAGAAGACCTGGGGGGAGAGGGGCTCCGGGGAGGGGAAAGGAGATAAAAATCCTGCGCTGTTCCTGGGAAAGGCTAGGCGGCTTTGACAGGCTCTTCTTTCCATGAAGAACTTGAGGAGGCAAGCTTGCCCTGGAACTGGAGGGTTGTTATGACCCCTCCTCCATGTTCCACCACAACAGACATGTTCCCACAGTAGCACTTGAATCCTCTGCTTGTGTCTGGTGACATCTTTCTGTCAGTCACCTTCCTGTCAGCCTTAGGAGGACAAGACACACAAGGGGACTTTCTCTGGAAACTGTTCTGACTCTCCCTGCCAGTTACCATCTCCTCCTCCCACTTCCAGCCCCTGCAAGCACCTCCGCAAAAGCGCTTATCACCCGCTTTTAAAATTTATTTTCACGTATTTATCTCCAATCGACTGTGAGCTCCTTGAGGGCTACACGCTGTTCGCATCTGTGTGCCCAGTGCCTAGCATAGCACCTGGCATTTCGCGAATGCCCGACTAGTGCTTGCTGACAGGATTCAGGTTGAGAAAAATAGTTGGATAAATTAATAGAGGCAATATGGCTGGAAAAGGATGTATGGGCACATTTAGGAAGCTTTGGATGCCAACATAGAGAGTCTGAACATTATCCTTGGGCAGCAGAGACAGCAGCACTAGGCGTCTGAGCAGGCACCCATGTACCCGAACTCCTCCATCATTCGTATCTATCCGTCTCTACCCTCTGCACCTTTTCTCGGTGCTTCCT